GTAATAAAATGCTCATTTCTAACTGTCGACCCTATTTCAGTTCAATTTCAGTTCATACATGTATTAATAGAATTTTCAGTCATTGATTTTATGGACTTATCAGGGAACAGTCTCGTCAGCTGAGAGTTTAGTGATGATACTGTCCACCTAGGTTGTGAGAAGTAACCAATGAATTTGAGAGATATGAAGATACTACTGGTGTTTGATCCTAGGTGTTTTTGCCGTACTGTGTTAAGTAGTAAAATACGGTGAGTAATGATGCGGTTAAACGTAAATCTTAGGTAGAGATGTTACTCGAAGTCATTGTCAATGACACAGATGCATTCACTTTGTGTGATCTCATGTACCTGATCAATCCTTATGTTTCATTCTTATCACTATCCCTTATCTATCACATTTATACCCAAAAGAGTTCCAGTCGACTTCTTTCTTCTCTACCTGTGTGTGCTACATGGAATGTGGCAACTTGTGAGCAGCTTCTATGTTGAGAGTCAGTCAGAATAACATGTAGTCTACGTATAAAGAAGTGTTAAAAAGTGGATAACAATCACTGAAATGTCAACAAGTGATAATCGTAACTTTTTCATTTGGTATAAGTATAAAACTTGGGCACTGTGGTAGAGTATAACTCCATAATGGTTAAGATTTTATTTTGATAAATCACACAGTGTTGTACAGTTATATACCATTTGGTTCTTATCTAACTGGTAAAAGGAGTTATCTTACAATAAATTCTCTTCTAACTCGAGATAACTTTTACACACTCTCTCTCGTTATATCCCATGAATTAGTTTATTTTATCCCAAAGCCTAAATGTTGAGTCGAAATACATCTGATGAAATATGTTTTGTTTATTACCAAGTAAACAGAATATTTTTCAAGTGTAAAAAGTAACAAACCGAACTGCTGCACTTCTGTGATGAGTTCTATGTTAAAACTCAGTGAGTCAGCTTTGTCACTGCAGTGATAATTGGCTTAAACAACTATTAATGTCGTTTCCTAAGTACTCTGTGCATTTCCCAATTCCTTAAATTGTCAAGATGAAGAAGAAAACATAAACCAAAAGTCAGTAACACGGGCATAAGAAATGGTGTGATTAGAAGTGAGTGAGATGAGTGATTATTTTACCCCCGTATTACACTGAACTAAAATACTCATGGATACAAATGAAGCAAAAGGTTGTGCGTGTGACTTGATATCATTAGGAGCAATAATTTGTGCTCGAAACGTCTTCAGATAATATTACTGTACAGCACTGTGTGATTTACCAAAATAAAACATCCGTAATGGAGTTCTACTCTACCGCAATGCCCAAGCTTTATACTTGTATCAAAAATACTTATCTTATGCGCTATGTGTCTCTTAATTGTTTCATTTTTGTCTTCCTCATTGCAGGTTGTCAGTCTTCGTAGACATTCTACTAGATATCGTCATACACTGTCTGCAAGCAATCTTTCAACATATCCACCTGCCACAAAGTTGTTGGTAGGAAGCCTTGAGATTATTCAATTCTGGCCGTAGTACAATTAGTATGCTTATATTACTGATGCAATAATATACAAGACTTGTACATGTTACTGTGAAGTTTGCTTGTAATAACATTCGCTCCATAGTAAATACAATGTTTGTGATTACAATTCGTCACTATCTTTTCATTGAGTGGATAGGTACATATATATAAGAAAAAGTTAACCTCGACGTATTAGTTCTCGAAAATACTTTCACTAAGTGCCCATACTACTGCTTAGTACGAAGTGCTACTCGTGGTCCATGAAATACTTTTTGTTACATTCGTGAATAACTATCAGACTGTTGTTATATGTAGTAGTGAGACAGAAGGCGTATGAAATTTAGATGGTAAACTGTATGTGCGGTGAGAGCTGTCTGTTAGCCAAAATTGGTAAACAGTAATTTACGTCAATGTCTACGTCCCAAATATTGGTCATATGAAAAACAAGAACAAGGACTGACTCAACAACCAATCACAGCAGACTTTGCGTAGACGGATACAATTAGTAGACAGACGATCTGACCTTCAAGAAGCATCCACAAAGAGATGAAAGATTAACTTTCAGAGAAAAACAATCAGTCAGAAGACTGTGTTTGTCTGCTAACAACAATCTATAATAATGTACATGAAAATCTATAAATATCTCTTGATTTTTCAAGTGTTGGTTTGTAGGGATTTGATTGGTTAGAGGATTTTCATCATGAGGTGACATTAGTTAGAGAACTATTGGAAAACCTGGGAGTACTGCACAGCTGTTTCGTCGTAGTTTTGAACTCTTCAGCAGTATGCACCCATGGGGATTCGAACTCTGGACCTTCTGGTTACAAGGCGAAATCGTATACCATTAAGCCACTGGGACCCGATCCAATGGCCCATGAATTCTAACTTCTGCCAATTCACGACATAGCGTGACCCCTAGCCAATGTCTTCGGTGAGTATTTGTCTTCACACCCGACCTGCTGCACCCTACTGGTCACGACTTCTCACTAGAACCCGAGGTAACTAACTACCTGAAAATGGCAAGTCGCTAGTGAGCATCTCATTGATATTCAAGTGTTGGTTGATTTGTTTGTTCTTGATTTCTTTAATAAACTATCTGTTACCTGACTCTTGCTCTCTGTAGGTACGTATGTGCAATTACTGACACTGGATATATGCACATGCTTATTTCTAAACAAGAAAATTTTATAGAATAATGTAGGGCTGAGCGCGGTGAGTTTATAATACATTCATTACTGTATACATCTTGTATAAGTGAAACTCTTATTCGATTTTCAGCGAAGCTGCAATATCTCCCTGTGGGGTTTCTTAATACACTCTCATAGTGAACAATACTTGGTACCGAGGAATCCAGCCAAAACCATCTGTGACATGGTCGAATTACTTTTTTAACTTGATCATGCCTGTAAAAATGGCATGCATTTTCATGTAAATTTATGTTTATATGAAAATATAAATTATTATTATAACTGAAAGCGGCAATACTGATATTATTAAGTGTGATTTACCTGTAAACTGAGGAACTCTAGCGTAGCATGGCACCACATCCCAGCAGGGTATTCTTTTGCTGTAAAATTTCTGCTGGTGCAGGTATAATTCATGGACTGAGCATTTTTTAAAAATGGAGGCGTCTCACTGAGTCACTTAGATGAAAGGCTGGCGAAATGTGTAACCTTACACACGTACCTGCAGATGTAGGCATGTGTTACTTCACATACTCCACATTACTCCATATCAGGCAGGCATTCCTTTAAATAAACCCTCCGTTGAACTCTCAATTATTGCTCGTATTTATGGTGACACTAATGGATTTTCTTACAACCAGCGGTGTTTTTTCTCAAGTCTTAACTGATGTCACATTGATTCACACGATTAAAGGAATGGATTAAAACGTAGTTTGTTCTGTGGCTGCGAATCGTAGTTACCTCGTTTTGAATTAATATCGTGCGCCTAATCCTATCAACCTATGGATATAGTTCTTCCTTCACGGTACGCTGCGATATCTAGGAGTAAGAAGCACACTGTCTTTGGCAAATCTAGTTTCATTTTGTGACTTATTAGTGAGTCAGCTGGTGTTGTGGTAGTAGGTAAGACAACTCCAAACCTAAGTATTTTCTAGATATGAACATATTTATTTACTTTGGCGATAGTCTAATCTTTTTACCAAGAAATCCCTAGGGACATCCACCTTTAATTAGTAATTAAAAACTAGAAGTAAACGCGATATTTCCAAGTTATTCAAAATACAGAATTGATAGTGAACAAGTATTTGGATACACTTATTCTAAAGTAACTGAATGGTGATAATCATTTTGCCTAACAATATACCTTTTACTTTCAATCTTAATTCAAAGAAAATTTAGCCACTCACTACTCCCGTCTTCGAAATACTTTGCCCGATCTTTTTCTACTTCAAAATATGTGTATACTGGCCAGTTGATGTTACTTACCCAGTTATACTGTCATTCAGTTACACTGTCCCATCTGTTTTTTTATCAATTAAAACATCCATTAAACCATCAGCACGTTACCATATGTTCTATTTCATTTTATGCGCAAGAGTAGGAAGAATCCGTACAAACGATCCAATAAATGACAGTCATAAGAGACTTCGAAAACCAGTCACTGAGAACGGCCATCCCTGAAGTGTCAAAGATAGAAACATGAAAACACCAAGGAAGACTGCTATCACAAATGAGGACCATACGTATAAGTACAGAAATCAGGGGAAAAACAATAGTGCAGATATTTAAAACAGAATGTGTAAAGCAGCGAAGAAAACTACGAGATTTCTCTACCTGACGGTAATTGATTTAAAAACATATATAAAGGGTCGATCACAGATATTGGCAACTAACATGCATCAACCAGTTTGTTCACTCTTACGTTTAATTCGAATGGATCTCTGAATACAAAGTTATTCAGTTGTCTAGAGAGAGGAGAGGACCAACCAATAGGTCCATTACCGAACAAATGGTTGACACTGGTTATTCCGTCTCACCAAATTCTTTCCTTTAAGTTATCTAAGAAGTTAGTAAAATTTCAGTCACAATAAAATACTTTAGTGCTCTACATTTTCCAGACCCACGCATTTCATTTTGTTTTTTTCCAACTCTATAGTTTCACAAAACAGTGCGATAATAATCTGTTACACTGACGACTATTCATCTGCTTTCAATAATGTTGAAATGGATATGACACTGTGATGAAAAAAGCTTCAAAATAAGTCGACTTCTTATAAATCATTCTATTTTGGTGTAGTTGTATTCCCCGAGTTGAATGGTTTGACCTTCGCAACTACACCAGAATCATCCAGATGAGCTAAACATCTCATCTCTATTATATCTAAACCATTCCATACATGCGAGCATATGAAATGTAGATGTAGACAACTAAACAAGAACTTAGTTTACATTTCAGTGTACATCGACAAATAATTATAAAGAGACTTCGCGTTTATGTGAAAATAAGCCCTTCCTCATAGACTCACTCACCTTAAATGCTGTACACTAGGAGATTGACATACACGTAGAAATTTACTATTTGAACCAACAGCATAAAATCGTCCAGAAGGATGAAATGCAACACACCGTACTGGCTGACTATCTTCTAAAATTGTCACAGGTATATAACGGGGTGTTTGAGGGGAGGCTGTAGTAGAAGTGGAAGCTTCACCATTAGATTTGTATGTTTCATCGACTTCGTTATTAGATGACTGTTTAAGGGCAGTATATTTCGTATTGGATTGTATTGGTTCAGGAGTCTTTTGAGGCGTCTGTACGAAAAGAAAGGAACTACATGTTGAAGTATGTAAGCGTCACTTTAGTGACAAACAAACATTTTCACAAGTGAAATTTTAGAAGAAGTAAACAGAGGGCAAAAATGACACACAGAGAGCATGGAGTTATTACTAAAGCAGATACTTTGTAATTGCAACAAAGAGATTATATATAATTATATCAGGCGCAGAAGCATTTACTCTCAGTGACTTCCCATATCCACTAAATCGTAATCTCTTTTTATTTTACTATTCGTTCTCCCTTATTTTTCTGCCTACTATAACTCTTTGGAAGCCTTTTTTGTCCCAAAAGAAGGTGGTCAGTTGTCTGTTGATTACTTTCGAATAAGAAAAGTGGTTTACATTCGTTCGGCTGATAACTGAAATATGAGGTTTTCCGAAATTATATTTTCAAATAGGCAAAATAAGGACTCAATATTGCTACTTTATCTACTAAATTGTCTTCTCGCTATTCAATGCGCAATCCAATTACAAGAAAATTCTCCTCTCTCTACCCCGCGAAATGTTTTTAACAATTTTTCTGTGACACTTTTAAGGATCCTTCATTATTCGAGAGGTTTAAATGCAACTCGGAGTGTAGATTATATGCAAAAATTATGCTCTCTCTGGAACTAGTTAATACCGGATGATAGTTGAGACCAAGAATTCACGTTATGTCTCACGAAAATTACTACAAATTGGGAGCGGCACTTCGAATAACGAAAACTTTCCGTAATCAGTATAAACTCCACAAACAACATGCGGACAAATGTTGCAGTAAAACACCAATCATGAGTAATTTACGCGTAGGTTTTACTGCGAACTGACACCGGGCGAAAAATCACTGAGCGCTCTCGAACGACCAGTTAGTTTGTTGTGTCAACTTTATTATGCTGCTTGACGCAGCAGTTAACTGGACAGTGCCAATATATTGAAATCTACTGAGGATTTGGGAGTTTTATTTGAAGTCATGATGTGTGTCAGCAATTCATTTCACAATAAAAAGATGTGCTAGCAACATCTCCGAAATTTATCTGTGTTGTGTGAGAGATGTGCATTGCTCATTACTGCAATTAATTGTGTAATATGAGGAAAGACAAGGGGAACGCAAGATATAAGACACTGAATCTTTTTGGAAATTTGTCTAAATGCGATGACTTCTCCAACATGGTGTGTATTAGCATAAAAACTATGAAGCACAAGTCAACTGGAGAGGCTATTTCAGCACATCTTGGGGCTCTTGGATTGACAAGTGAATTTCCGTTAGTTAAGAATAAAATCAGAGATAAAAAATTAAATTGGTACTTTGTATGAACAGTATATGTTCACATATGTTGTTTGCTCACATAAAGGCTTCTTAGAGGATTACACTTGCCTCTTCAAGTAAATTATTGCGTTGGAGCCAGACTAATCCCTGAAAATAGTAATCAAACATTGGAGTTCTTCTGTTCTTAAATGGACAGTTTGCCAGTCTCGTTGTCAAATATAATGAACATTCCACTGATGGAGATTTTTAAAATGATTATGATTTATGCTAAGGCGACCATGGACTGGAAGGATGCAGTCGTAAGCCTTACCTTCACACAGGGGAACGAGCAGTCGGTGTCTAATTGCTGGCCTGCAGGTCTGACACGGATTTTGCAAAGGTATTACAAAATAGCCTTTAAGAGATCGGCTACTAGCTTATTTGATGAAAATGGTGAAGCATTGGCATGGATTGCAATCAGGACAACCCTATATAAAGGCTCACTGCCAAGTAGGGAGCCACTCAGAAGCCAGGGATGAATGCCTAACTTCGGACATAGTTTTCATCGGTATTTGTAAACGTGTGGTAAAGTGCCGCGTTTAGGTCTCCCCAGTAAGTTAAGACGTCCCTATATGAGTGGTCTTGGAACTACCCTCTGGATAAAGATGAGAGGTCAGGGTTTATGGAGTGTTGCATAGGCGAAAACCAGTACCAAGTGGAGTCACAGGGGACTGTGCTAGGCGCCTTACTTTTCAAATTACACGTAAACGAAGTGTCTAGAATCCTCACCTGATTGCTGAGAGAGTCGGTTGGTTTACATGTCACCCTAGTTTAGGCGGAGAGAGGTCAGCCACTGAATTTTAGTTTGTTGATTTAACACCAAATACACAATCGAAATTGTCCAGTGCGTATACTGACGATGCGGGGAAGTGGCAACAAATAACGAGGGTAAGAGGGAGAGAGAGAAAGAGAGAGAGGCAAATATGCTTGAGACAAAATGTGAAGCCATGCGACGAAATCATTATGATTATGAGCAATAGTTTGTGCTGGTAACTTCATCCGATTATTTATACGGTATCACTATATATTGTTTGAAACAAACTAATCTGATACATGTTGGTGGCACAGCGGTTAGGACTCTCGTCGTCCATGCACATGGTCTGGGTTTCGATGCCATGCTGACGCACACCTGGTCGGCCTGCAAAATTGGGGCAACCAATATCACATGCTGAGAACTCCATACTTGTACGATATGGTGTTGAATCAAGCTATAATAAAAAAATTAAATAAAATACATTCTACCCCAATGCTGAAGTTTTTCACTTTGGTGACTTAGACAAATTAACTGAATGGTCTGACCTCTGAAGCTTAGGAATAAATTCCAGAGGAAGCGTGGTGATGCATTTATGTCAGAGGCCTTACATTCTCTATTATCTGGGGAACACAACTCTCTGATGTTAAGGGGCCATAAGACTTAGGAGCTATTGTCAACCATGATTTGAAAACAAACTGTATATTGTAATACAGCAGCAGCTAAGGTTTTTCGAATGCTGTTGGCTTTTATAAGGGCCTGAAAAGACTTACATGATTTTTTATAGTTATCACCACTCGGCTGTGGTCATATGGATGATTTCACGTACCCAAACTGGTTAGGACTAATACTGGGAGACACGCTATCCTCCTCAACAGTTTTCTATTACTCACTTTGATCTCTAGAAAAATGTATTGCATATCACTCGTTTTTTACTGTGGACTCAACTGATTGGTCGTTCAAGGTTATTTCTGGTGATCTCTGTCTTGGGTCACGATTCTAGTGGTAGGCCAAAATCTGGAACGTTATTCTTGCTAGTTAAATTCTTACCAAACTCACCAGATCATCGTATGTTATCCGCTTTTCAAATCGTTTTGAAACAAATAAAATGCTTGTTAACACCACGTTTACTACAGGCAGTCCTAGTTGGTGCGTTTGGATCTAGTACACTAGGCATTAACAATCATTTAGGGATTTCCTATTGCTTCCAAAAGTACATACAAACACCACACATTCATACTTCACATGTGGCTCATCCTTGTTCGATTTTGATTCTCTCACAATACATCTGATTTTTTAGCTGACAACAGACACCTTGTCGAAAAGCATCAAAGCTTTTTATACTTCAAACCAGGATCTAAATTCTCTAGGTTTAATTTGCTCTTCGAAAACTTTGCTAATATCAACTCTGATTGTATTTTCCCCATCAGATTGACTCGTATATTGCTGCATGCTGTAAACATGAGCGTGACAGACATTGTTTTTTCCAGATTTCTACATGTTAAGTAAGCAACTGAGCTAGTAACAACAACGGCAACCAAAAATGAACTGGAAACAACTGCTTCCGCCACCCAAACATGCTCATGCGCATAATTTCCAAAACTTCTAGACAGTACTAGTTCATTATTAGCGGAAAAACAACTAAAAACCTGAAACCATGCATGAATGCAACGTATGAAACAATTACAATGAAGTGAATGCACTGACCTGCTGGTAAAAACTTTCGAAACAAACGAAATAACTAATTTTAACAGAAACGGAAACAATAATGAAGTGAAACGCAACATTTGTAAACAATGTGCATCAAGATACGTGGTGAATAAGTGCTGGATAAACGGAAAAATCGATGTGTAAACGAACAGCTACAGAACTGCATTTCAACATGGCCGGCTAACATGGACGAAAATGACCTTTGAGCGTCTCACTCCATCAATGACCTTGTACATGTCGTTTAATTTCTGCCGATTCTAGTCCATGGCCCTGAACGATAAAAGAGCTCGCGGGACCTTTGAATCCAAGGTCAAAGCGTGCGACAAATGAAGTTTGTTGCTCTTGTTAGTGGTGGCAAGGACAGCGTGTATAATATCATGGAGTGTGTGGCCCACGGTCATAAGCTGGTTGCACTTGCCAACCTAAGTCCACCGAAACATCTTCATGACAAGTGAGTTATGAAACCGTTGTTAAATCATCTCAAGAACCGTAGAGATTGACAGTTTCATGTATCAGAGTGTGGGAAGCGAGTCTGTAGAATTTATTTCTAAGGCACTGAATGTCCCACTATATCAGATGGAACTACGTGGATTTTCACATTGTAGACGATTGCTGTATAATGAATGCCACAACGATGAGGTTGAGGATCTTTACGAACTACTGTCACGGGTATTGTGTGAGCATTCAGACGTTACTGCTGTATCCAGTGGTGCTATACTTTCAGACTACCAGCGATACCGTGTTGAAAACGTAACACACAGGCTAGGATTGCGCTCACTTTGCTTTTTGTGGCAAAGATCCCAAGAAGAACTACTGGAGGATATGATTTCTGCCCACATTGAAGCCATAATAATCAAGGTGGTCTTGCTTTTTATACCCTTTTTATGTTTTCATAGTTTGTGTTTATTTGTGTCAAATTCCATTTGTCATTCCGAGGGAACTTGTAGTTGAATAAAATGAAAGATCTACCTGACTGAAATTAAGACGGAAAGGTTGCTAAATATGTTATGCAGTAATTGCTCATGCTTGCTTTTGCGCGTACACATTGACTGTGGAGCTGTAACGTATTTGTTTAGGCCCGTGAATTCCAATAGTTTTGACTCCTCGCATCAACTATTGAAGGTTTCGCAGCCAGGTATTGTCATTACATAAACATGGAAATCTAAGTTCTCGAGCACTTGGGGAACTCATGCAACGTAACTCCACCAGAGTCGTATTTTATAATTATGTGTGAGGTGTGACCGAATGGTGTAAAAGGTAATGCTGAAAATTCCACACCGTAACATTGGTGCTGTTTTGGAATAAGGCATTTAATTGTTTTTTGGGAGTTGTGTATGGCCGAGGCACTAGCGATTCGTCAACATAACCCCGAGTTCTGCAGAAAAGGTTGGTTCAGTCACTTATTTTACTATTGTCATAGGCTCTTGCCTAATCGTTTGTTCCCAATAGTAGTAATTAATTGAGAATGGTTCCTCTTGTAATATTCATCTTGTACATTTTACTAGATTTCTTTTCTCGCACCCTCTTTACACTTGTCAACGGAACACTCAACTACCTTGCTTCTCATCGAATAACAGTTTTCATCTTATCAAATTCCAAACCCTTACTTCCCTTGTCGTTGGCTATCACGTAAATATTGCACCTTCAGCAACAAATTCCGAGTAATTGTATCATTGCCACCCTTTCTACCATTCAATAGATATGGCTGACAGCTTCCATCGTTATCAGTGCACACAGAGTGAAGGGGAAGTGAAGAGCCAACAAGTAGAGGAGTTGCATTGGTAGAAGGAAGGCAAGATAATAGAGATGAAGATGAAGACAAAGATGAGCGAGGATTAGAGGGGTTTCGCGTGCACTTCGGATTGTGAGGGCGATTGTTACTTCCCGGCTGCCCACACCGTGGAAGTTGGTTGCGTGACCGCAGAGCCCAGGGGACAACTGCTTGAGGCCGGTCACACACGGCCTGTTTTTGTTTGTTCTTTTTTATTTGGTGTGTCTCAGTAGCGTATTTATCACTTCTGCCCTGTGACACGGCAGCAGAAAGCGCGGTCGTTGTTAATCCGGGCCCCGACCGATCCGGCATGATATTTTGTGATTTATTTGAAATCATAGGATTGGATTGGGTAACTGCTTTTAGTCTAACTGCTATCCAAACAACCTTTCTGGCATGGTAGGACCTGCAGGAACATAAGTTCCAGCCAGTATAGCTTGTTGGGTCATTGCAGTGTTCAAGCCCGACCACCACGTCAAGGTAGCAGCTTTATGGCTGTGAGACCTGGCCATTGAGAGCAGACGACATGAAAAGATTAGCTGTCTTCGATCATAGGTGTCTGCGTTCTATCTCCCGCGTGAAGTGGTATAATAAGGTGAGCAATATTGAGGTTAGGCGTCGAGTGCTAGGTAAGGCGGGGAAATCAATCGACGAGACTGTGAAATTACTTCGACTGAGATGGTTAGGACATGTGCTACGTATGCCTAGTCATCGCCTTCCTCGACGGGCAATGTTAGCTGAAATAGGGTCAGGCTGGAAAAGAGCTAGCGGCGGTCAAACCAAAACATGGCACCAATCAATGAAATCCACAACAGTTAATCTAAGCCACGTAGGAAGATGTAGACTTCCTGGTTGGGGCCCTCGGGATGGTAAAAACCAATGGTTGGAAACAATTGGTGACATGGCTCAAAATCGTTCTCAGTGGCGCAGATGCATCCACTCCTTGTGACTTATGATTTCCAATTAAACTTTTGTTCTCCGTTATTACTATTACTTTTCCTGTCTCACACCTCTGTTTACTGTCTATATTATGCATTTCTTCTACTTCCTTCTCTTGCTTTGCGTGCTACATAGATTGTGGCGACTTGAACTGCCGCACATATGTGCAAAGTTCTATGTCGAGAACCGACCGACCGATGGCTGACAGCCGTCGAAGATGATTTCATCGATAAAGAAATTTAATTCATGACTCAATAGGTATTATTGAACTTCTGAAGTAACTTCATCAATTTTAGATTTTTACAGTGAGTGTGAATTAGATATGATCTCATGTCTGAAAGGTTTCTCATCAAAACTATCATAATAAGTTTATCAAAGGTGCTCACAGGCATTGTTATCTAGACCGACATCCATCCATCATATTTCGATGTAGTTATGTTCTCTGAGCTGGGTGGTTTACGTACGAAGCTTTCATTGCCTTACTAGGCAATATCCTCAGCCCATACTTCAATTTGAAGTGAGGTTTTAGATTTCTCCACGAGTTTACTAGTCATCTCTTTTGATAGCCTTAAATGTGATCTGTTGTTTTTGTGTGTTTTCACACCTAGTCTAGTTGTATTGGTATTGATTGTTTTCTTGACCTGAGGTTTAACCGTTTATGTGAGATTTCCTCCTTGTCGATTGGTAAATTGTCTGTATCAATGTGTCTATTGATTGACGATTCACTGGAATAGCAGGCCTCTAAAAATTCTTTAGTATTCTTGGTGTTTCTTCTGTCTTATATTTGAACGTTGTCCCGATCAGATTGATGTCCGCGGTTGTCTGTATGCAGCGATATGAAGGAGTGGATGTTATGTCTGTTGATGACTAGTTTATGATCATGGATACGCAGACGAAGGAGACGTCCACTTTGACTTATGCAGTGTTTTTCTCAGTCTTTGCAACTTATTTGGTAGATGATGTTGGTTTTATCTTCCTTCTCTGTTGAGTCTTTTGGTTGACATAGAGCTGAATGAAGTGTTTTCCGAGATATCTTGTATACATTTTACGGTGATTTTCTGTGTGTTTTCCTTGAGGGCCTTTGATTTGGTTGGCTGGGTTGGGGGTAGATGTCTTTTGATGAAGTTCCGTGGATATCCATTCTTTTGGAAGACGTCCATGAGATACCTTTTTTCAATTTTCCTTGAGGTGGGAGTGCTGCAATGAGTCCTGGCCCTCTCGGATACTGTCTTTTTGCAACTCCTTTTGTGTGTTATTGGATTGTTGTTTTTGTGGTTGAGTATTTGGTCTGTGCGACTTGATTTCCTGCAAACTCGAATTTCTGACTTTCCCGTGGTTGTTCGCTTGACTATGACGTCCAAAAATGGAATTTCTCCCTTGGACTCTTGTAACTTGGATGTCGTTGAATATGTTGTTTATCAAGGTGTTACTTCTGTCTAAGTCGTTTCTTTTGATTATCATGAATGTGTCATCTACGTAACGTATCTAGATTTCGGGTTTGGTCTTCGGTAGGACTATGTTTTCAAGTATTTGTATCACAGCTTCTTCAATCAGACACGATATGGACGATCCTATGGGTGTCCCTTTAATTTGTTCACGTATTTGGACGTTGAGTTGAAAATACGTTGTTGGATACAGGTTTATGCATTCCATCCAACTTCAGTGTTGTGAGATGTGTTCGTCGTTGCTGGGTAAGTGTCCCATGGTTTCTTTCGTTGGTTCCTGTTCAATCGAAGTACATAATGTAGCATCGAAGGATACCACTGTTTCTTGGTCATCTATTTGAATACCTTTTTCCTGTAGAAATTCGGTAACAGATTTGATGGAGTGGTCTCAGGATTTCGTTAAATGTTTCAATTTTATGTATATTTCTTTGGATAAAATGTATATTGGGGTTCCTGGGAGTGATAACATTGGTGGTAATGGGATGTTTGGTTTGTGTATTTTGGGTCTGCTGTGGAGTCGGGATAGAACTGGTCCATTGGATCTCGTTCGCCACTTATCTTCTTTTGTGATCTGACCTGTTTTGGTGAGGTTGTTTAAGGTTCTTTGGTTGCGGTTGTCTAATGTTTGGATGAGATTTGTTGTGAGGTGTTGGTATACTTTTCATCTTTTAGTTCTTCAGCTTTTTTGGTATATTTTGCTTTGTCCGTGAGTACTCATGGAGAGGGAATCCAATGTGTTTGCCTGCCGAATTTTTGGTGGTAGTTTGTTCCGTTTCTGGGTACACCTACATTGAAATTCATCTAGGTGACGATGGTTTGTTTTCATGATTTTCTCAACCCGAGCTTTCTCTGTTCTTAAACACACCAATTGGTTTCCAAAGTTAGTCCTAAAGCGATAATTTTTAACATAAACAAGTCATAACATTGTCTAACTGAAGCAAATGGAAGACTAGTTAGGCTCTCTAACCTTAATGCACTTGGTGTGGCTCATTGCCCAGTGCCGAATTTCGATAACCCCACTTTTTCACAGTAATTGGCAGTATTATTATTTATTCCTGTACGTTCGCAGTGGAACGTAGGGCTTCAAGATACAGGATTACAGTTTCGGTAGCAGTGGTGTTTATTTTTAGGGGATAGAGTTGTTAGCCTCATGCGCAACTTTCCCTCTTTACCAGTGTTATTACTGGTTTAGTGAGGTGAAGGAGTGCGTCGACCGGGGGTCGAACCCCTGACCAAATACCTGGTTGGCGAGCATTCTACTGCTGTACCACTGACGCACAATATGGCACATCTGTATTTCGTATAGTTGTGTGTGCCGATAGTCTATTTTATTCTTTGTGCTCTCTATTGCTGAGGGTAAAAGTAATAACATGGTAATATGATTGTGAGGTTTAGGTGAATAAGGAAAGCAGATGTGATGTTCACCAACATAGAGTGCGTATATTGGGCACAATGCTGATCCATTTGGGAAGTGTGAGACGTGGATTTCAATATGACCATCTAAGTAGAGTTTATGAAAGCGCTATACTGTTAAGGCCTTCACGTTAAGGCGTCTTATAGTGCGCAGAAGCAAAATATGAGTCGACTGAACGTATAATTCATATAGGAATACTGGCTGTCCCAACATTTTAGCCATATAAAGATTAGAGCAATGAAATGTGAGCGAAAAATAACGAGATAACTAATTAGAGAACTAAATATTCGAGATTTTGGAAGTATGTACACATTGATTGAGGTGGATAAATGATAAGCATTGAAAAGCCTAAGTGACAGGTCAGAACACCTTCGTTGGTCCTATCGAAATTAGAAGATTGACTGTTCTCCAAGTCCCAATAATCCACATTTTACCACTTTTCTTGGCTAGGTCATCCAATTGCTGATTCGTTTTCTGTGTAATTATGAAGTTTATAAAGTGAAATCCATCTCATCTGTTTCTACATACACTCTTTTACCTTAAGTCTGAGTTGGCATGGTATTGGTTCTTGATTGTTGGTTTGATCACTGAGATTGTGCGTCGGTGGCACAGTGGTTAGGACTCTCGCCGACCATGCACATGGTCCGGGGTTCGATCCCCTGCCGACGCACACCCGATATCAATGGTCGGCCTGCTAAATTTGGGCTACCGATATCCATGCTGAAAATTCCATACTTGTACTGAAAATACCGTGTGGCATCAAGCTGTAACCAAAAATAAAAAAATAAAACTAATTTTTGCAGCCATTGCATCGAGTATTCTCAAGTATTGCAATTAAACAATGGGAGTGCTCAGATCTCCAAAAGAGCATCTGCTTGGTAGCTCTTTGGGCAATTATACTGTGGCATCAAAGCAGGGTATGAAGTTCCACTAAGGTATTTTATGGTTGTTTGGGAGAGTGGTGACTTTTAGAAGTAGAAGGCCTAAATCAGGGCTATTTATTGTATGCACATGCCTATAACCTATATATTTACATAATTTGAGAGCTTATGTAGTATATTTGCTGGAGCTTTTATTAACGTAATTAGTTTATTCTGACATATCTTATAGATAGCTTCTTATGGACTAACAATTGAAGACTTCCTTGGTTTTCGTATAAATGATGTCGCAACGAAGCTTTTTAAACTATCAGTTCCTCCTTGGTCTTTGAACGTATGTGGAGAAGGTGGAGAATTCGAGACAACTACGTTAGACTGTCCTATGTTTCACAGTAGAATTAGTTTGGCATCCGAACCTGAAATAGTGGTACATTCTAAAGATCCATTTTCACCTACTGCATATCTCCGTTTAAAAGATCTGATACTAGAGGTTAGTTAGCTTTTTTGGTTCTATTGAAAACTTGCGTATATTTGATTGTGCAAATAATATTCTTTTTTATAACTTCCTCATCTGGTTCTAGAATTGTTTATCCATAGTAGTTAAAGAATAATTGTTGAGATTAGTGTTCTGAAGTATCCATATTTGACAATATGCATAAATATAATACTAAATTGAATATCAGGTAAATTAAGAAGAAAATTAATGCAACTACCAGAGAGTGAAACAGTAAAATAGTTAAAACAGTAACACCTTGTAATTGGTATAGCCTAGAGGAGGAGGGGGAGGGAGGGAGGGACGAATGTAAGCAAAGTGATTGTACAAATTTCTTCTGAATGCATAGGTTGGGCTTCCTCAGATGAATTCTGATGGCTAGAAGGCAAACTCTGAAACAAAAATTTGTTGCAGTAATTATGTGTCCAACGTAATTTTGTTAAATCATGCTTGTTTGTAATGTAGAAAAAAAATCCCCACTCAGACGTTTAGAAGACATAAAGGTTGAGCGAAGAAATGTTTACCTTTCAATTAGATCGTCATCTATGCCTTCACTTTAATACATATTGCCATTTTTAATACAGTACCAAAAATTTAGCAATATAGTTGTTCCATATTAGTTTGTTTATTAGATCTATCACACAGTGAAACAGTATTATTTACTGGATGACGTTTCAAACAAAATTTATTGTTCATAATCATATCAATTATAATCACACGACTTTGAAACTTGAGTTTTATAGTTTTCTTTGTCTTCTCCTATTTGTCGTAGGGGTAGTAGAATTTTCCAGGTATCTGGGACAGGTGTTGAATCATTCCTATTACACGTGTTTGCAGTTGATTCGATAAACAAAGCTTCCGATGATATTAGATAGTTGGAGGCAATCGGCAGGAAGCCTTGGACCTAGGTTTCGTGCTAGTTGGCACTCATCAGCAAGGCGTATCTGCAACCTTTAAGGAACTCATGTCCCTTCTGAGATTCGAACCCGCGTCACCCAGTGCTGCAGTCAGAGACGTTACCACTGAGCTATTCGGGCTCGCGATTGACCTCCTGTAGGACTGTAGTGGGTATTTTGACTGGACACTAGTAACTAGTGTGACGTGTCTAGTCCTTTCTTTGGTGCAGACTGAATTCTATCAGTCAGGTATTTGCAATGTGGCCACCATTCTAGGTAGCTCGCCATCACGGTGCACACATTGATTTGATGATATTAGATAGGCAAATGTGTTATTCGTATTCTGATTTGCGCATTATCAAGACCTTAGAGATATCAGGCAAAATAAGTCTCGATGAGTCAAGTGGTGTAAACGGATAAAATATTCAAGTAGGACGACCCTTTGATACGAGCTACATTCATTGTTAGGGAAATAGTGTTATTACCACTCATGGCATCCGGTATTGATTCTACAAAGTCGAATGAATGCAAAACATAGTAAGCTTGTGTTTATACTCTATGTGCAGAATCTTAGGCAAGCTAAGCTTTGTGCAGAGCAGATACAGAGTTTCATTATTGGAATGGAACTTGTGCACTGTGTCAGATTATGTGTGCATGTTAGCGTAATGCATTTGACATGCTCTAGAGTGATGCAGCGTTATTTATACTGATGATGTTACGACCTCAATTTATTGCTAATTGTCGTATCTAAGTATTTCTACACAACTGACTTCACCTTCGGATTATTGAAGTTGAGAATTTGACCTCCTACACTTAGGTTTTTAACTTTTCTGAGTTAGCCTCGTTAAAGGAAATATCTGAAAATATGAGTTCTCTGCGTCTTCCTCTGAGAACTAGATGCCTATTTGGTAAAGTGCTGTTTTCATAAGTTATGAATGATGTTTTCAACTGCATACAGTGATGCTGTGGTGGTGTGACACAGACAATGTGTGCCACCGGAATATTATTCTCACATATTCCCACAGTTATATACTGCATTCGTAACAGAATACTATGTATATTTGAACATTCTATTTCATTACGTTTGATGTAAACCGAAATCATACGCTCAGTGATTGGTTAAAGAATATAAACTGTAGATATGTTAACAGCGGTTTGATCAATGGAAAACATACCTTTGCTTCCATGTCTTGCCTTCTTCTGTTATAATTCGTATTATTTTCTTCGTTAGAGAAGTAGTAAGTGAAATCCGGTTTTAATATGTTTTCTTATGTAACACTTACGAAAATGGTAAACCTCATTATATTTTCATATGCAGAGAAGTGATAAATCGAGTTTTAAGCTGTGACAATCTTCCAGTAATAAGTTTTTGGATTGCTGGTCGTTTACTCTATTGTGCTTTCTGCTATAAATAACTTATGACCGAATGCGAGTGTCATTTCATATATCAATTAGAGAAGTAACATGATCTAACTGGGAGTTAGAGTAGTTAAAACTCTGTTTCCCAGAATCTGTCATTCATATTTCAGTCTATGAGCCACAATTAACGTGTGGAAGTTGATGACGAAGTAGGTGAAGTGGGTTTCGGACCTGATACTCACTCAACTGAAAGCCAACTACTTGAGTCAGTCAGCCAGTTACTTTCCCATCTTTTTTTAAAAATCATTTTATGGACGAGTTATTTTTCAAACGGTCTTGTTCTTTGTATTCTTCTCTCTCATCCATCTTCTCTCTGTTTTGTTTAATCATCTTAGGCTAAACCTTTAGATGAAGTTTATTATACGTCAGAACAACTTTTATCTTTAGAAGGTAAATGTATTAACAACCAAGGTAACAACCATACATCAGCTCGTCGTCCATTTATCTCTCCGCTTGATAGACTCAAGGAAATACAGTTGAAAACATGTGAAGAAATTAGAAATGATATTATTTGTGCACAACTTAACACAAGCGGTTCTCAATCTAATAATACTCAGAAATGTAATCAAGCTAATCTAAAGTCAGCAAATGATTTTGCCAGATGTTTAGGTAGTGAAATATGGTTGACGTCAAATTTCATTGGTACAAGTGAGAAATCAGATAAGATTGATGAAGCTACCAAAAATGCTTTCCTTCAAATGAAAAATATATTCGGTAAGTTAGCGGGTTGAGATTGACTTGCTTATTGATAGGTAATTATCTCGACAGCACGGTTTTATTCTCGACTTTCTGATTATTCCCAGTTATTGGAAATCTTATCCATCAATTAGTTAAAGATCGTTACTGAAACAAGAACCGAAAATGGAGTCCTCTTACCTGATACTTTCTGATCGGGTTACACTGATCACAAAATGTCATTTGGTTGTCAATTTCGATAGTAGTGGTATCGACGCTGTATGTGACGCTCATTTTATGTAGGGATTGTCTAACAACGCCTATGGATGTTTTCCAAATATAAGAATTCCTGGTGTTATTCATAAGGTGGTGACTAAGTGGAGAGTTAGAAGAAAGGACGGAAATCGAAATGACGCAATGCGTGAAAAATAAATAATCAATATAAATGAATAAAAGCTAATGGAAAGACGATGAAGTGTTTATATAAAATCTGTATGAAAGCTTGACAAAGAAACAGAGAAATTAGTCTAGTTCCTTTACTATTGCATGGTCCTTGGAATTCTTCAGTTAACTGAGAATGCCCATATTGAGTCAAACTTGCTGAAGTTAACAATGAGCTTAATTTTCTAAAACAGTGTACATGCGTGCACAATCTAGTCACTAGATATCCACACAGATTTACCGATAAAAACATTTGTCGATAAAAGCCTCCGTCACCGAAATTTTAAACTGTTTCTGAGGAAACTGTCTTCATGAATCTAGAGTTCATCAAAGGTGACATCTCAAGCAGCCATCTTACAAATCACATTCTCGAGCAAATAGTCAATCCAGTCATGCGTTAAGGATAAGATGCTGCTTTTGGCCACTTTAGTGTGTATTTAATAGCTTACTTGTTCCTTTGGAGTCAAGTATATCGTCTGTACACAGTGGTGTGTCGGCACACGTATTCTGGAACACTGTTCGGTCTGGTTAGCCAGAGAAAAGAAAAACGCCAGCAGCTCCACCCCAGATCACCTTGTCAACTTGGACATCGGGCACTGCCGCATGACTGCTTCACAAAGTTCCTCAATGTCGCACTAAAGGACTTCGAAAATGGCATTTATACATGGACAAAACACTAGCTATTTGGGTCCTAAAACGGGACTTCTGCGTTGAAAAGCTCTACATGCATTCACTCACCTTATCGTAGTCAGAATATCGTTTTTACCATAATTGTGTTTCATTTTATTTTTTAAAGTATATTGTCATCATATTTTACAGCCACTATAATTGTTTATTAATAACACTGCATTTATCATACAGATTTTATATAAACACTTTATCGTCTTTCCTTTAGCTTTTATTCATCTATATTGATGATTTATTTTTCACACATTGTGTCATTTCGATTTCCATCCATTTTTCTAATTTCTTCACTTAGTTAACTTCTTCTAGACCACACTTCACACTATGTTATGCATTTTCTGGAACAAAGTTACCAGCATCTGATTGATTTTTTGAATGACTGACTGTGACTGGTTTCAACATAGAACTTTGCACCGATGTGCAGCAGTTCAAGTCGCCACACTCCAAGTAGTACACAAAGCAAGAGAAGAAAGTAAAAAGAAATGCTAAATAGAGATAGTAAGCAGAAATATGAGGCAATGCTCCCTCTTTTCCCGGCCTTGGGACTGGCTAGAAAATTAGTGAGCTAGTAAACTAGGCGAGGCTAAGGTCCACGTAGATGGAGTGTAAAACTGGATAGCGTTTGTATTGCACACTAAACAGATTTTCAAATTCATGAACCATCTCAGATTCTCATCTTGTGGCTACGTGGTAATCGTTTGAGCGTAGAGTAGTACACCGTGGAACTCAATATTTTTGTGTATATACTGCTGAAGATTATAAAACGGTTATTTGGTGTTCCATGGTTTTGAATGATTCTCTAGCTGATTTTCGTTCGTGAAAAAATTTCTGAAGTTAATTGGATCCCTATGTATTGTTGTATTAGTTAGCATTTTATTGTTTTGGATATTTGTATATTTCATCGTTTAAAATTTCCAGTAGTATCGCGAACAAATTGTGCTGTTGACTTCATTCATGAACGTTGCTTTATTAAGCCAGTAGTTTAGTTTTCATTTAACCTTTTTGAACAGATAAGTGGTATATTTCTCCTTCACCTACACTGGGGGTGTGAATCGAAATTCCTTGAGTGTTTAGTATTTGATATGTAATATTGGTTTTTGCTTAATACTAGTGGCAATTTCATTTGACGTAGACTTATCATTCCATTCTCTTTCTTCAGATTCAAATGGAATTGAACCACAACAGATATTACAATTCATTGTTGTTTTAAGCCAGCCGCTGTCAGCTGATGTGTTCAGCATGTTCAATCAAACTTATACCGTCCAGTTGAATGAATGGTTAGATGAGAAGTCGAAGAATCATATCACCCATAATTCTGAACCTGTCACTTCGTATTTGCCAGCACGTGTGTGTATTAGTATGAATTCTGTAAGTTATTCTTGAATATATCCACTTGCATGCTACACAGTACCTTTGTAAATGTCACTGAAGAAAAATAAAATTTTGAATATGAAAAACTCAACATAGATGCCATTCTAGTATTTACACACTCTTCCACTTAGTACTTTGTGATTTAGGTTGAGTTAATGTGAACTGATTTCAGGTACTTGAGAAACATAGTTCTGTTGTATGAGGACATGAGCACATCGAATAACAGTGTAATTCTTAAATGTTGAATGGAGATTGATGCCTCAGAACTAGCTCGTATAAATGTCATATTTGATGTTCTAGAGAGCCAATCGTGTTTACTTGTAAAGTCGTATTATGTCTGTTTGGTCGATAATTGACGAAATACAAATGCAAACAAAGTGCTCGTTTGAATAGCAATACCATATCACTTACAAAGTATTTAATGAGTATGGAAAATTGAGTTTGTCCTACGGAGCACTCCCTTCCATTGTAGAGCTGTGAGACTCATCCACTGAAGCTATAAACCATAATTAAACAAAATTTATCACAGTATTTTAAAAAGGTTTTTTTCACTACACTTGGTAGAGAAAGCTCGTGTGCTATGGAAGTTTTTAGAAATAGAGTAATAAAAGACGAATGTAAGCTGTAAGTTTTCAATGACTCAAATAGTTGGGTCTTTTGTTGTAAATTTTGCTTTGTCACTAATAATCCTTAACCGTCTGCGTTAGATGAAGTAAAACCAATATTACATTAATTTATCTGGACGATGCAATCACACCAGTGTTATTCACACGACTGGATAACTTGCTTTATATAGTTTTACTCCATGCTGTTTTTACTGCAATTTTCCACATATCCTTGATTCATCCTACCCAGAATTAGTAAAGGTAGATTAGTATATAGTATAGTAGTATATTAGTAGTATAGTATAGCTAAGAGCCTAACCTAGTTATAAGATTGAAATAATGAGATCAAACAAATAAAGAAAATATTACCAGTGAATAACTACCTACCAAAATGTATTTAAAAATATATGAAGAGCCCTTTAGAGATTAAAAGTTTTAACGAAAATGATATAGATAGTAAAGATTTAAAAACCTTGGCAGTGCGGCCATATAAAGAACAGACATCAGAGGTTCTACAGAGGATTCTTAATAAAGCTGAGATTCTATGACTCATAAAGTAAGTTATCCTTAAAAGGATAACTATCACTAAATTGTTTTTGTTTTTTCATTTCCTATGATCAAACCAGTATTCTCTAAGCTCTTAATTTGAATGAATGTTTTCCGTGAGATAAACTGGATTTTGAAGCACTATACTTATGAAGGTGATTTTCAACGAAACGTGTTCAACGGTTTTAGGAAGAAAGAAGAAACAAGACAAGGAATGGCTCTCAACGGACACTTGGAAGCTAATAGAGGAGAGGAGAATGGTGAAGGAGAAAATGATTCAATGCAAAGATGGACAAGAGAAAGAGACGCTGAGCTCAGCTTACACAGCACTGGACAAAGAAGTGAAGAAGAGTGCCAGTGAGGACAAAAGACAATTCTACGACAACCTGGCCACTGAAGCTTAGAAGGCAGCAGGCAAAAGGGACCTGAGGACATTATATCAGATAACCAAGTCTCTATCCAGGAAGAGATCAACATAAGTAAAACCTATAAAAGACAGCCAAGGAAGAAAGACAGATTAAACAATGGGCGGACCACTTCAAAGGACTCTTGAACCGACCACCACCTGCAACCCGTCCAGAAATACCAACAACAGCACGTACACAACTGCAAGTTGACACCAATCCTCCAACGAAAGCTGAAATCTTGAATGCAATCAAGCCTCTGAAAGCTAGAAAAGCAGCTGGATCAGATGCAATACTCCCTGAAGCACTGAAAGCGGACCCAGAAACAACAGCAGATATTCTGACTTCATTATTGCAAAAAGTCTGGAAGGAGGGAAAGGTGCCTACTGACTGGAGGAAAGGTTACCTCGTGAAACTACCAAAGAAGGGCGACCTGGGACTCTGCAAGAACTGGCGAGGAATCATGCTCCTGTCGACGCCAAGTAAAATCCTGAGTCGCATCCTTCTGGAGAGAATAAAGGACGCAATGGATACAGAACTCCAACCAGAAAGGCAAATCATGTTCTGACCAAATTGCAACTCTACGCATCATCATCGAACAAAGCATGGGATGGCATTCAAACCTCTACCTCAACCTTATAGACTTTGAGAAGGCCTTCGACAGACAGCGTTGACCGCGAAGTAATTTGGAAACTACTCGAGTACTACGGCGTACCCCAAATATTCATCAACCTTATTCAACAGCTGTACGACAACGGCACATGTCAAATGATCCACAACGGAAAACTCAGCGAGGCTTTTGGAGTAAACACAGAAATCAGACAAGGGTGCTCATTATCACCAATGATATTCCTAATTGTAGTGGACTGGATTATGCGTCAGGCAGTGGGAAACGAGAAGAGAGAGATATCCTGGACCGACGTGAAGAACCTAGAAGACCTGGATTTCGCGCGTGGATGATTTATGTTTGATGTCACACAAAATCGAAGACTTACAAGCGAAAACCGACAAACTGGTCGAAGAAGCAGCAAAGACAGGACTCCAGGTGAACATAGACAAGACGGAGGTTATGAAAATAACCAGCCAACAACAACAACAGCAGCAACATCCAGCGCCAATCACCATCAACGGGATGGATTTGAAAGAGGTTACTTCATTCACTTATCTAGGGAGCATTGTCTCAACTACAGGATGAACGGATGAGGATGTCAAATGGAGAATCGGGAAGATGAGAAAAACATTCATCAACTTGAAACCAATCTGGAAATCTTCCGCGGTCACTCAGCAGCAACAACAAAATTCGGATTTTCAATACAAACGTTAAGTCAGTTTTGATATACGGATCAGAAACTTGGCGGGTCACAAAGAATATTTCCAACAGCCTGTTGCAGACCTTTATAAACAGCTGTCTTCGCTCTCTACTGAAGATCAGATGGCCGGAAAGAACAAGAACCAACAAGAAACTATGGGAAGAAACAAAACAAGAATTAATCGCTCAACAAATATGCAGGACAAAGTGGAGATGGATTGGACACCCACTGAGGAGGTCGCTGGGTGACATCGCGCGTCAGGCCAGTGCTCGAGTGGAACCCGAAAGGGAAGCGGCGAGTGGGACGTCCAAGGGTGACATGGAGAAGATCGTGTGAAGAGGAGCTGAAACAGTATGGACTAACATGGATGCTGGTGAAAAGTACAGCAGAAGACAGAAGCAAGTGGAGACGTGCAGTTGAAGTCTTATATTCCACTAGGAACCCAAGGGAACAATAATAATAAAAATAATGCTTATGAGTCTCTCGCTAGATATCGTTACATGTAAGGAATAATTCTTTATCCGTACGAAATTTTCTCTATCCTCTTTCTATCGAATACGCTCCTAGGAGGAATATCACTTTGTTTTATTGTGATAATTTGCTTGATAGAGACTGACTACAGAGTCCAGAAAACATAACTGGTCCTATTTAGCGACATTAGGAGATGGTTTTCCTACTGAAAATTGAATCGGAGACGCATCGTTCGAAACTTGTGGATAATTGTTTGGCTATATCCAGTGAACGAATCCTGTAGAATGTACTTTCTTGATTCGATTGCTATCTGCCACTGCTACAAAAACTAATATTTTTGTAAAGTGGCTTTTTCTTCAAATTTCGAAAAAGAAATGAAACTTTTTAAGGTGAAAAGAATTAACACTTGAGTCATTGTTTTCAAGTCACCTTAAGTATAATACATAAAATGTTATCCATGATTTAGAATGAAACAAAATATCCAATGAAATTTTAGGGGTTTTACAAGCACTGGCAGTTCACTTCGCTACATGATAAGGTCGCAAATTAATAGGCGTTTGGATTACACTGAAGTGTGTGGTTGTTGTATATTGTTTTACATGAATGTTAATTATAAAAGAAATGTAACTGATTGTCATTCTCTTGTTTATTGTTTGTATTATCTCCAGTTTTCACAGGAATTCAATGTGCACTCAAAGGAAGCATGTATAATCAGTCTGTCGGCTATTGTCTATCATGGTAAATCGGATATGCATGAGTGGATAAACTCCCTTCGAGGTTTGTACGTTCAATCGATTTCACATTGGGCCCCAGCTAATATTGGACCATACAGTCAAGCAATAGGTGTTCCTGCTTCATGTTTTCATTCTGAAAAGTGTACTTCTTCATGTGGTTTGGAACAACTTACCTTCTATTCAGGCCAGATCGGTTTAATTCCAGAACTCGAAGTACTTCCATCACAAACCGGACATTTTTCAAGGATTACTGAAGCACTAGAAATAGAATCTTGGCTTGCTATAAGACACTGTCATCGAATAATGAAGGTAAGGCGATGTCACTAATATTCAGGTAAATGTTCCAACTTTTTATTAAGGGAGAAGACTGTTCTGATAAAAGCTGTGTAGCTATTTATGATAGTTATTTCACTAGATAAAAAGATATAAACTGAAATATAATAAATTAAAAAGTTTAAAATGTTAAGCGTCACCATTGTGACAAATTATCACCGTTCGGCGATTAAAAGTTTGTTTTCCCAAGTTAATCTTGCTGGGGTTAACCTTGCCAATTAGAGGGAGAGACAATCAATATGCTTAATTTTAAACCTTTTAATGGAGAAATCAAAGCCCACAGTTATCGGCGTAAGTAGCATCAAAAGATAAGTTACACTTTACTTTCATCATCCAGTATTTCGCTTTCATAATCACTGTGTAGGCAACATGGTATGCACCCTAATATATTATTATTATTACACTTTTTACTTTCAGTGTATGTCACTCTCTAAAATATGGACGAATTTATTTCTTGGAATTTGTTATGCCGTTGATGAAGATTCGTTGATTCAAGCTCGAAAGCATTTCCACCTTAGCGTTTGTTCTGTGACTTCAGACAGTAAACATATCAGTAGCATGTGTTACTGTAATAAATGCATTGTATGGATCATTGTATCTGGTCTACCGAAAGATGCTTCATTTGAATGGCAATGGATAACTGGACCACCTACTTCATTGGTTACGTCGGTCGATGATACAACTAACAATGGTTCAATTGTTCCACAAAACACTTTTATGCTGTTTTATCGTTATGATTATTACCAATCAAACCAAAAGATATTGCTTGAATTGCTTAGTACTTATAAAGGATTTGTTCTGCCTGTTATTAAGTTTGCTGATCCTAATGTAAATACCGTTTTCGTTTCTGTTCAAAATAAATAGTAATTATAAATGTTATTATTATTATTATTGTTAATATTAGATTTACAGTAATTTTCACTCAAATTCCTCTGAAGCCACAGACTGCTTTATCACAAATAACCGTAACACATAAAAACCTGAGACGAATCAGATTCACCTCACACAATTTAGGAAAACCAAACACTGGGGAAAAATATAACCTCGAAAACCTAACAACCACCCCAAATATATCCCAAAATTCCTTTTTGCAAATCTCAGGCTAAAACCAATTACAATGAATAGCCAGATAAAAATATATATATATATATATATATATATATATATATATATATGCACATGAATACGTAGCCATCACATACTAAACCTACAGCTTCCCAGACGAAAGCCAGAATACACCTACGGTCAAACACCGCTAACCTCTTCATATCTCCCAGTTTCAACCGCCATGTCTCATACGCATCAATAGGTCGCGTGTTTATGTAACTTGTCATTTTATAAACGATATAGTGAGTATTTCAACCCTTGGATAATTTCCCTTGAATTACGGCCGGCGAAATGCACTATCTTGTGCTATTTATACGATCATCGCCTCATTCCATCGGCTTTCAGTGGGTGTAGCACAACTAATAGTTACCAAGTGTTTGGATTTCTTCAATAAACGTTTTGTGTATGCATCTGCCGACCAAATGAACTACGACCATTTACAGGCTGTCCAGCAAGAAGGCAATGGATAACGACACACCCTACTTGTGGTGAGGTTGAGGACTTGTAGTGCACTTACATGCTTTGTGACTGGTAGGTTTCATGTGCGTAATCACTGCGTGTATTATGTAATGTGTGTTACCGTGGTTGGGTTTTAAACATATAGACATTATACCTTTCAGCTTAAGGGAATAATTTAATAATTCCCATTGTAGCATTAAGAATACAATATTCAGCGAAGAGACTCTTTTCAACGAATTTATTATCAAGCTGTACAATCGTATATATATGGTTTTTAAGAAATTATATCCGGTGAGGGAATTAGGTCAAAGGTGTGAATACATGATATAATAATAGTACGAAATGCAATTAAATTATTTGTGATTTTGATCATAGTTTAATGTCAAGTGGCACAATAATTAATGTCGTATGTAGAATGATACATAAGGTGTATAGATTTTGGAAAGGGGTACATAATTATAAGATTAGTAGACGAATATAAAATGTTACATAACATGGTATGAAATTTGATAAGACAGAATTCAATATGGTAAAAAATATAAAAATTAATAATTTTAGGTTTAAAATGTCAAGTGGGTCAAGTGAAAAAGATTCAGAGTGAGAATAGTAATAATAATGATAATAATATTAATAGTAATAAGGGAAGAGTACATAGAATAACTAAATAAACAAAATAAATAAATGTCTATCCCTATACGGCCAAGGCAGAAGTAGGGATTGTACATACTTCTTTTGTACACAAAGGTCTGGCTTAAAGTCATGAATTGCCAAGGCCTCAGCTGTCTTTAGAAGTCTGTAACGAATAGAACTCGGGAAGTTAGCATGGATTCTATATATGATCTTAAAATCATGGTCAGGATTAACAGAGTGACAGAAGTCGATCAGGTGTTCCAAAATAGAGCTTCTCACACACTTCCTTTCTCCCTTATAAAACCAAGCTGGAATATGTTCTCGTATCCGTGTGGAAAGCGTCCTCTGACTACGGCCAATGTACCTAGCTCCACAAGAGCAGGTGAACTGATAGATGCACATGGATGCGGCCAGACGGGGTAGCTTATCTTTTATAGAGGTAGAGAACAACTTGCGGCTAGTGAATGTCATATGTAATTTTGCTGCATAGAACGTCTTACTGACTGATTTAGAGAGACGATTTTTGAGCATATCTGAATCTTGATCACCTTTGAATTCCAAGTTCATGAATAAGGTTTTCTTTGGAACTGTGTCGGTAACCATTTTAGACTGCTTTTCTTTCATGTTGCTGTCAATAAATCTGTTAGGGTAACCGTTTTCTGCCAGCGTGGCTTTTAAGAAATCAAGTTCCGAGTCAACAGAATCAGAACTACAAATTTTCCTTATCCTATAGCAAAGCGAATGAATTAAGTTCCTTTTCCTGGAGATAGGCACCCAACTGTAGAAATTAGTTAGTTGTCCGTTCCATGTACGTTTCCGGTGGATGGATCTTTTGAGAGATCCGTCATCACGTCTGCTAAGGCACACATCAAGAAAGGGGATACTTAGTTCGGATTCCTTTTCTACGGTGAATTGTAAGGAAGGATGGCAGTTGTTGAAAGTAAACAGGACATTATCAAGAATTACATTTTTATCGCAGATAACGAAAGTGTCGTCTACGTATCGTTTTTAAATGTCAAAATGACTGATGGTTTGACTAAGTTGAGAATTTTCAAGCTTAGCCATAAAACAATCAGCCAACAAGGGACCCAGTGGTGATCCCATGGCAATGCCGTCTCTCTGTCTAAAGATCTCATTGAAGGTGAACTGAACATTCAACGTGCAACTCAATAAAAGCTCTTTGAGGTAGATGGTCAGCAGTCCTATTTCTAAACTATGTGTATCAATATAATCACATAAGTAACAAACAGTTTCCATGAGAGGAACATTGGTAAAAAGCGACGTTACATCTAATGAGAACAAGATTTTGTATGAGACATTGACATCTTTAATGCTATCAATAAATTTAAACGTATCATCAATGGAAAACTTAGATACTTGCCTTCTGACTGGTTCCAGTATTTCAGCTAGCCATTGAGCGATTCCGTGATAAGGAGAACCCGCCATATCGAGGATAGGACGCAGGGGTAATCCTGTCTTATGAATTTTAGGTAGTCCATACAAACGTGGTATCATGGAGCCTACTGGTCGGGTCCGTTCATATATTTCCGACGAGATCACTGACTTATTCCTCATGTTCCTTAAGACATCAGTCAGTTGATTTTCAATTAGATGTGTCTTGTTCTTTTCACCATCGGGTTTGGCGAATTTCATTTGGTCGGAAAGGATCGCTGAGATCTTATCATTATAATCTTGGCGGTTCATAACTACAACACCCTCACCTTTGTCTGGACGGCATATAATAATATCATCATTCTTCTCTAGTTCTTTAAGTTGATCTATATGCTCTTTAGTCAGAAGGTTATTCGAGCTAGGTTTTGAACTGGTAAACTGATGACAGCAATCAAGAACTGTAGATTTGAAGTGTTGGAATTCCTCAGGTGATGTGGGTGTGAGATCGTTGGTCTGATTAATAAGATTTTCAAACTGCACTTGAGTATGCAATCCGTTGACTTTCGACGAACTGTTACAGAATGTCTTACTTAGTTGATTGCAAGGGATGGATGTGAGACGATTGTGTAATGTTTGCTTTTTGCAGAAGAGAAACTGCGCTTTACATCCAAAGTTCTGCGAGTGTTTAAATCTGCCATAGAATGTATGAACGATTGATCTCTCCACTAGAGAATATCACCAATTCTAAGATTGTCTCTTTCCTTTTTCACATATTTTGTGTGGCTATGATAAGGGATTGTTTACTGAAGGTGAGATCAATTAACCCTATGTATATATATATATACTCAGATATTTTGCAATAATTCGGAGTTAGTTAACGGAATGGCATGGAAACATTAAATCCAGTTTCTCCTAGTGGTGATGGAGAACTGCAAAGACTAGTCCAGTATCACTTCCGACTGAATGAAAGTGATTCAGACCTTGTGGATAGTATGAGGAGTAGACTGTGTAGTGACCATGATGCAGCTATACACAATCTATAACTGAACTTTTTCTCTATTTTTTGTGAACTATTTTTAATGTAATTACATATATTCTCATACTAAACTATTTTTAAATTCGTTGGTTATTGTTTCGTTATAAATGTATGCGTTTACGTCGACTAAATGTATCCCTTATATTTATCTTTTGGAGGACATTGCATAGTCAACGAGAATGATAGGCAACGTAGTGATCCTTGTCTAAAATGTCTTCAAAGTCATAGATGGCTGTTTTTTCCTCAAGGAGTCATCAAGGCTTCCGTGAAATGTTTCAGTTATATTTAATCCGGTTGAGTATAATAATAATAATAGTGTCAACAGAGAAAATAGCCGTAGAACTTCTGTTTTTAATGGAATGACGAAATGTAACTTAACAAATGTAGGCCATCTACGTACACTGTAAATACACAAGGAAACCTATATACTACGAGATAAAAGTAGTCTATTATTCTTATGATGCGCACAATATCATTGTTTCAAAGGGAACAATTGGGTATTGAGATGACAAATACATCACTCTTGTGCCGTCATTAGGTTTCCCTACATGATCAAATAAACGCTTAAACATATATGTATGTATATGAGAGAACGACGTCGTTCAGCTTGATTGATTAATTTGTTGTCGTTACATACTGTACTTAGGTACATATGCTTTCATTGTGAATATCGCCTCTTTGCAGTCCACTAAGGAAAATTAATACTGAAAAACTGCAGTAGCATATCACTATACCCAATTTCAATCAGGTGTTAATTTCACATTGTTACGCATATCACATCTTCTAGATTCACATCACTAATCAGTGTCATCATCTGGAACTTAGAGGAATATAAAAACACAAATCCAGCTGCCCGACATAGAGATGATCTGAAGGCAGTTAGCTCCGTTATTCGGGAAATGCTTCTCGAAAAAACAATTAGAGTTCACATAAGAAAGGCCATTGTGGCAGCAGTGACCACATAGTCATTACTAATACGTTTAAAATTCATTCTCTTATACATAGGTCAACATCTGCCCGTCCAAACATTTGGAAAGCAGATACACTGGGAATCCGAAACGTAGCATATCTAGCTGACTGGCCAGTTTATAGAGGTCGGACTGTCGAGGAAGCTTGAGTAAGATTTAGGAATACACTAGATTGTGTCATTTCACCTTTTGTACTTTGGTACACTCCTCGGGAAGCCAGTCAGCCGATGTGTCTTCTCTTGATGAGATTGAAATTAAGATTGGGAACGTGGAATATCCGTACAAT